GTTAGGTAACAGAGGAGCATCAGTCTTGAGTTCAGGACAGGCTGCGTTCAGACCACTAAACAAAGGCAGATACCATATTTTTCACCATATAAGTCGTACCTTTTTGCATAAATTTGCAAGTCCTGCTACTTATACCTCGAAGCGACCTAAATACACCCCCCCCCCCCATATTTATAACCCAATTTTTGGCTGAGATTAGACAATTTCATTCATTCTGACATTGGACAATATTGAACATTACCATTTTCTGCCACTAGAGGGCCCTCAACTAATATGGCAAGCCAAGTGTCTCATTAATAGGTAAAAGTGTCTATTAATGAGACACTTGGCTTGCCATACATAGTCACCTTTGTCTTGCTCTGGAACTCCTGGAGCAAATGTCAAATCAGCTGCATTTCATCGCGCTGCCCAGGTGAAATGTAGCAGATTTGACCATCAAAGTGTATTTATTAAGGAAAAGTTAGACTGAGACACACCTTTGCTATAATGTTGAACAAACAAATAATTGTTTTTAAGTGATAATCTTGTTAAATTCTTATTAAAGTCCTTCTGTGCATGCTCCCGTGGCCCCCATTTGTCAGCCAATCGATTTTTGGCACAACACCGGCCTACGTTTCTGGGCGGTCAGCGGTGACACATAATAGATTAGACTTATATGTCGAAGAGACGTATTTATGTTTTTTTCCACGTTATTAGACATATTTGGACTGATGCAGCTTATACAGCGATGTGACGTGTATGGTGGCAAGTACGGTAGTAAAGCTGCATTAATTTCTTCCTGAGAGCGTTCACACTGTCCAAATGGTATCAGAGTGCCCAGGACAGACGTTGATGTCAGGTCTGAACAGGGCCTTACTGAAGCACGACTTAATTATTCATCATAATCTTTTATTGGTGACTCAGGACAAGACTGGAGGTACAGAAATGTTTGTGAGTGAGACTGCTGCAACAAAATATTCTTGGACTAGAGCAAAGAGCACGAGACGAATTGAAAAAGTTCAAATAGGAACAGAATAAACGAATTGGGATTAATTGTGCTGGAAACAGAGAAAATGACATTTACGTTAACCTTATAATTCTAAACTGTAAAAAAAAAACTGAAAACTGCCCTAACCATAAAGAAATAAGTTACAGCTTTAAGAGGTTTTCCAACAAATGTATTAAAACTGTCTGACAGTTATAAGTAGTTCTTATAAAACTAAAATATAAAGATCCAGGTTGTGTCCCCAAACTGGACCACACTGGCATGCTGCTGAGTTGAATGAATATTGTTAGATATGATCTCCATCCTCAGCTGGCTGTGTTAAATCACACATGTTGTTTTTATTCATGTTACAGCTGCAGCGTTGTGTACATGCCATCTAAAATCAGACACGTCCTTCAGCAAACACCACTCTCTATAAGCCATTAATACTCCCCAACATGTTCAGATCATCAGCTGTCACTCTTAAACGCCTCTGGCTAAAGGAAATTGTGTGTTTACTGCGTACAAAAGCTCCTTCCTGATAAATGAACTCCCAGGCACTTGTGCGCACACGCATACACACGAACACGCACGCAGCCAGCAGGAGGTCGATTAGCCAGTCTTGATAAATTGGAACATGGCTTTAGAGAAGTGTGAGGACTTGGGTGGCCTGGTAAAAGCATTAAAAATGCAAAGCAGGGCTCTTTTAAATGCTGCCATTGCTCGCCTTGCATTTGATGATAAATGCTGCACTGAAGGGCTGTGGCTGCAAGAAAAATCAGAAGACTGCTTAATCCCTGAGAGCTCCTGCAGCCTCCTCTGCATACAGGCCCAATCATTTCAGACCTAAAGAGAGAAACACATTCACCCAGTCGTGCTTGAACATACCACTGTTCCCCAGACAGACAGGGTTCAAAGTGCAGGAAAGTGGCTGGGACTCCTTTTCTTTCTTTACAACAGAAACTTTAGTCAGAGATATGGACTCAGTGAAATTCCTGGTGAAATCCCCTGCTAGATGGACCATGTCACATTTTGACAGTGGGTAAAAAAAAAACAAAAGGACAGTGAAAGGTGCCCCCGATGCATCCATTTCCCCCCAAGCTGTCTGATATCAATCTGAAGAGTTCCTTAAGGGGAGCAGAGAGCCAGCTCTGTATTACAGGATCAGAGCATGGCCGGCTCAGATAAGAAGAATCCAGTGAGCAGAAAATACACACTTCTGTTCCTGCTCAGAAACATCTTTCAGACGTACTGGCTTCCATTGATCTGACACAGACCGGACGTGTCAGTGTCTGAATCACTTGCCTTGTGATTTTACCAGTAAATTTACAGCAATACAGCAATAGAACAAGACAGGAAATTGTAACTTATACAGGTCATGCACTCACTTGACTGCTTGGACAACCAGCACTCCCATCACTCCCCACCGAGGGGCAAAACATTTAATATTCAAAGGTCATTTGGGGACCCCCAACCCCCTGCTGTCAAACTATTATTTGACGATGTCCTATCAAGAAAAATCAGTCTCAAAAGTAGCCACACAAGCACACAACGAGATTTGTCTTGTGTACTATAAGATCCACAAGTGTACTACAAGATTCATAAATGCATAAACAGTTTTTCAAACGTACACATTTCAATGTGCACAAGTAGGAATGTTCTGTGCATACAAATGGTCAAATACACGTGCACAAATCACCTGCAGTGGACCAATCGGCCAATACAAGCGGATGGATCAACTTGCCTGTGAATGTTACTTTAAAGAAGTTCTTGCCATTCCAGAGTCACAAAGATAATGCTGCATTCAAGGCTGGTGGAAAGCTGGGACATCTGAGCCTTACCAGATTTACCGAACTAAAATGAGCAGGTTATTCTTGATCTGAAAAAAAATCTCACAGCTCCTCCTGGATTTTATATTAGCCAGTAAGGAAAAGTTTTGTTTATATTTAGAGTTATTCACTCATGCTTCTCTATGCTGTAGTTTGATATTTTCACGTGTTTCGTTCATTTTCAGTTTTTGTCTGCCTGTGTCACTGGCCATTATTTCCCTCAGCTCTCCTGGTCTACCAACTCACAACTGCCCATCATTTACTTATCTAGCTTACCCACAATCCCTCTGTAATAATCTCTCCCAGTCTATTTAAACTCCTGGTTCTCCCTCAGTCATTGTGCCATCATAATGTTTGCTCTCTCCTTCTAGAATTTGTTTATTCTCCCGTCGCAGAGTGAAGAGAGGAATTGGAAATACCCTGCATCCATTCGTCAATTCAATCAAAACGTGTGCTTGATAAGTTGAAAAATAAGTGAGATACTGGCTTCCATTTTGGTATGTGGCTGCATCTAGGTGTAAGAAAGGTTCCTATTGAAAATTAGGTTGCTAGATCAAAATCCAAGATGGCTGCTGCCATTTATGTAAATATGTAAACATTGTGAGTTGGAGAACTTTAAAACCAAGCAACGTGCCGACTTCCATTTTGGTGTGTGACTACATCTAGCAATAAGAAATGTCTCTATCACAAACTGGGTTGCCACATCACAATCCAAGATGGCCACCACCATTAATATATATGTAAACAAGCCCCCCATCATTTGAAGAAACTATGCTGTTTAGTTTGTATTGTGCTTAAAGGTATAGTTTCCTCAAATGATTTGGGAGACTGGAGATGACAGTATGGTGGTCAGGGCCACCATTGGCCACAGCCTGGCTCTGCCACATGATGTTGGATCTGTGTCGCCTTGGATTTGGGTGGGAATTCCAGGGGGTTGGTGGGTTTGGACCCCCAGTTTTGGAAAAATGGACTGAGAACTTTGTGAGCTTTGGGGAAAAATTAAAGTCAAACAGACATACATCTCTGCTATATTCTGGGGCATAAATATTCTTCTTTTAGCTTTAATATTTTTTAGAAAATCTAAAGCAACAGAAATAGTCTCTCTCACCATGAGGGAAACTCAACAGGCTGTGCGCTCCTATAGCGGTGCACAGCTCTCTCTGTCTCTATCTGTCTCTCTCTAGGAGACAGAGTTCGGCCACCCGTGCATGTTGCACATGTCTGTATGATGATGACGATGCTCAGAACACATTAACTAAATCAGATTTAAGATACAAAAGTCCCAGGAGGTCGGGGTGCGGTACAGGAGGGGGTGGTGGAGGTGATGGTGTAGCAGTTCTGGTATCTCCCTCGGCTGCAGTGAACTGATCACGTGTGAACACATACGTTTGATATGTAGATGTTTAATAATTTATTACACGTCGTCATCTTCATGGTTATCTTAGGGTAGGGGGTGTCCTCCTTGGTTTCTCTGCTGCTCACACCCAAGCTTACTGTGACACAGACAGCAGGCCCCGCCCTGCTCTGCTCTGATTGGCTCAAACTGTGGTTCTGTTTTCGTTACTGGTTGAAAGCAGCATCAGTTTAATTCCTGTATCATCATTAGACTGGATGGCTTTAACAAAACCACAACAAAACATGTTTTATTCCCCCTCCTCATTTTTACAGATGATGGAAATCTGTCCTGGCCAAGATCAAAATGACGGAAATCCAACGTGGCGACTGAGAACTTTAATCCAGGAATAAGGGTAGATAACAAGAACAAAAGGATTTTCAGCATAAAAAAAACAGTGTTTTCTCCATTTTGATGGTAACACATATTGGAGCTTGGTTGCTTTGTGTATTTCTACCATTTCCATGCTCCTCTCATGACCAAATAAAGTGAAACATTTTTCCTTGGACTCTGACCAATTTTACTTCAACTTGTACCATAAGTTGAAATGTATTTATATATCTGAGGAGAGGTAACCATATCAGCTCCACTGCAAGAAAATCTGCAACGGTTTTCCATTTTAAACTGTTTTTATATGCAATCAAATCATTTCAGCAATTCTAGAACAAACTTAAGAATTGAGTAATTATAAGTTAATTATTTGCAATCATCATCAATTTACCTATTAGCGACCACTACCATCAATCACAATCAAATAAAATTAACTGAGGGAAAAATATAGAAATGTTTCCTTTCAAGTTTGGTCAGTACACACCGTGCCTCTCACTTGCTGTTTCTTAGGTTCTGGTGACATCTCTTGTGGGATGAATTTGATTGGTCCTTTTATCTGCCTCCTAGACCTCTTGGTGCCATCAGGCAAAGTCTCCATGGCAATGTCCGCCTCATCGCTGCTGGCCTGGTCGCACTCTGAGCATTGCCTGAGAAGAAAAAAGAATGGTACATATGACAATAGTACTTGTTTTATTTTTATGTACTGACAAAAGTCACTTCTTTTAAAACCCCCCACCCCCCAACAAACACATCAGTGTTTGTACCGACAGTTGTCGAGCATGCAAGGGAGGATTGGGAGACCAGCTCAGCATGAGGGGGAAGCAGAGCACTACCTGGCTTTTTAGCTAGCATGTCTGTATTGCGCGCTATGTCATAGTTGGCACTTGTTGACAGGGTGTGGGGTAGAGTTGCATTCAGGCCCAAAACATCCGACCAGATCTGGCCCCAGCCCGTAGCCATCATTCCCGAACCCCACCCGACCCGACGAATTAACCGCGATTACAGGTCCAAACCCGAACCCCCCCGGGACATTTTTTATTAAGCTTTGACTGCTTATCTAGTTATTAACGGTCAGTGAATGCGTGCGGCTAAGAGGGCAGAAGATCGGAGCTGAAGGGGTGTTTGTCCTTTCATGGCCGTCAAAGCACATTAAATCCCTGCTTCTGCCTGCATTCTGCATTATTCAGACACAGACCCTGCTCTGACATGTCGGATATTTTGGGATCTCACCAATTTGAGTCGTTGGCCGCGCACGTCCGCTGAGAGTAGCGGCTGAATGAACGTCCATTTGGGCTTTGATGGATCGCTGTCTGGCAGTATATCTCGTGTCATACAGTAGTCCCATCTAAAGCTTAACTGAACTTTTTACCTCTTTCAAGGCTGGTCAGCGCGTGGTCAAATGGCCGAATGAGGCTGGTGATAGTATGGCAAGCCATGTTGCCATATAATTGGATCGTCAGCCGCGCGTGTCCGCTGACGCAATCAAAAGCCCGACACTGATCTGGCCTACACATTAAGCAATTATTATGGCCCGGCCCTAATCCGGGTCAGGCAGGGCCGGGCTGGGCTCCGGGTTCGGGTTAGAAATGACAGCTCTAGTGTGGGGGTTTGGTTTGGTAAGCAGGGTGCTCAGTTCTGTTGACAGGGTGGTGCACCCTGCTTGTATAATGGTAGGAGAAACACTGATATTGCAACATGTTTTACTATTTTCTGATTGTGCCTCTTGGGTTACTAGGCTGTTTATTTTCAATGCTGAAGTCAAACACCCTCCTCAGAAAACCTTTACAACCACTTGCATCCAAGATCTCATCCTTCTGTCCATGACCCAAATCTTACAGGTGAGAGCTGGAACATAGATGAACCAGTAAATTGATACGTTTTCCTTTTCACCTCAGGTCCTTCTCCACTACTGCAGTCGGAGTATCGCTCTCATTACTGTTGGCAAAGCTCTGATTCATCTATCCACTTCTTCTCCATCTTATAACCACTCAAATACTTTACCTTTTACCACCAGGCTTGACAGAACATTTCCCCTTTTGTCCATGAGCACAAACAAGTCAGAACTTTTCCTCCTACAGTTTGAAGCCACAGAAGGACAATCTTCATGTTCACAGGAAACAACTCCACGATGCTCTGCAAAGGCCATGTGAGTATTCCACATTCAACTGATACCTCTTTTCAAGGGAAACTACAAAGAAGGGAAAAATCCAGTCTTCCTTTGAGAGTTTGCTTCCAGAGACAAAGCTGTGCATGGAGGTGAAGCCAACTACATCTAGTTTGTATTGCTCAACCTCACACACCATATCTGGTTTCTTTCTCAACAGCCAACTGACATTTCACATCCAAAAGCCAAACTGCACAACCCAGAAACAGCATGTCCAGGACCCACACGATGCCTGAAATCCTGCAAATATTGCATCTGACCTTGTTTACTTTCTCTGCAGTTGGTAGGTCAACGTGAAGGAGACCTCCTGTGACTTCAATCATTGATGAACAATTTGACAATCTCATCGTTTAAAACAACCTACAACAAATATCAAGCAGTGTCAGACATATCCTGGTCCTCAGAACGATTTGCCACGGAAGACTCAACCAGGAGCTGATGACCCAGAAAACCCAAGTCTCTGATTTATGGGAAGACTCAAACCTCTCCATCTTATGAAGGCAGTGATTTTAAAAATACACATTTTCAAGTGTATTTCCATCACAAGCCGTAAAACTAATTTATAAATGGTAGTTGGAAGAGAAAGAATGGAAATAATAATAATAATTTAAAAAAAAAAACACCAATTCAGCTTTCTCAAAAAAATGTTCCTTTTGTGTTGAGAAAGTTCCTTATGATCACTTTTTGTATGGACTGTTTGAAAATCAGACGTAGGTATGCAGAAGGACTACTACTGGTCGACTTGTAGCTCAGACTGAAACAGATATCCACAGACAATTATAGTTGTTTTAATTTTGGATCAACTATAAAATAGGCCAAATTACTGTGATTTTTAAACCTTTTCCAATTCTACTCAAAATTATTTAAAAAAATGCAAGTTTCAAGTGAAACGAGCGGTATGCTGATCTTCCCCATTGCTGAGGGATTTGATTAGTGAATGTTTGTAGTTTTCGCAACAAGTGTTTTTCTGGACTGGAATTGAACAGCGAATGCAAGTAAACCTAGATGTTTTTAGTGCAAAATATTCAGGTGTAGTAAATGTACACGGTATAGAAGAGAGACAGGTTATTTTTATTTTTGCTTGTCCAAGGCGGTGCAGAGTGATGGATCTTGGCAAATGGAGGAAGCAATTTTTATCTAACTGACATAGGTACATATATGGTGGCTGCCATCTTGGATTTTGACATTTTGACATCCTAATATTTAATAAAGACGTTTCTTACGTGTAAATGCAGCCACAAACCAAAATGGAAGTCAGTCACTTTTTTGCCAAGTTATCCAGCTCACAAGAAAATGGACCTTTATGGTGACTTCCATCTTGGATTTTGATGTGGCAACCCAATTTTGTAAAGGAACTTTCTTACACCTAGATACAGCCACATACCCAATTAAAAGTTGGTACCTTACTTGTTTTTCAAGTTATGCTCTCAACACAGACGGATGGAAAGACGGAGGCTATTTCCAATTCCTCCTCTTCACTCAATGATGGGGGACAACTAAGCAGCTTTTTAGAAAACACTCAGCAAATCTACACGTTGTAGATTCGCTAAAAGCAGAACTATTTTTTTGTTTTTAGCAGATTAGCATTTTCGCTAACTTTGGCAACCGTTAGCAGAATTACCTTCTGCTAAATTAGGTTTTGCCAACTTTAAATCCTCTAACAAAATTCACAAGCTTGTTCCTGTCTGTTGTGGGAGTCTCTCAAAGAATTCGTTGAGCACACTATTTGCTTAATACATGCACATGTGACAAGACGTACATGATTGGTTGACTCACGCTGCTGTGTGCACGCGGTAGGGTTGTAGCAAAGACATGAGACTTGAGAGGCCAGTCCTGCTTAAAGTCCTTGAAATGAAGCCACAGCGGTGGGCTCGAGCTCCACATCATGAATAAGATGCCAGCAGGCTTCACCCAAAACTCTAGTTCACTGCTCCCATGATGACAACCACCATTACCCCCACCATAGAAATGTTGTGCGAGATGGGGATCCATCACTGGAAACCTTGGTGAACCCTGAATTAACATCTGCCTTCATGCTCATTCCTTTGTGTTGTAGTGAGATGATGATCCTTCGTGAGCAGGGCCTTACACCTGGATAAAGCAGGTTGTCTTTAGTTGACTGAAGTCCAATCACAAGGGGTCACTCAGGATGTATGTGGCATCACAAACTCTCCCACACTTGTGAACACACACTAACAACTGACCACTTTTGATCAGATTACCCAGAATGCTGTCTGCAAAGTCTCAATGTAAAGTAGTGAAGGTGAAGTGCATGTTTTTTTATTTTTATTTGAATGGACCTTTAGAGAAATCACTCTGAAAAATGTGTTGATATTAACTGTGCATTCAGAGTTTTTAACCCACTGGGTGTTTGTCATCTCCCAGCAGCTGTAGACTCAAGTCTTTCTGTTCTGAAACTGTTTCATGAGCATGTAACTCTTGAAGCCCAACACTTTTTGTCTTATTAACTCTTACCAATAGCTGTTCTTGGTCTTCTTGGGCATTCGTGTTAGCGGCGGCTCCAGGCAGCCCAGGTGATAATAGAGCTTGCATGTGTCGCACAGCACCAGCAGATGTTGGTCCTGATTTTTCTTACAGATTCCACAGCTGCAAAAATTAATCAGAGGCAAATGAATGAGTGCACAAACTGCAGATAGGAAATACGGTAACACTTTATTTGAAGGGGTGTGCATAAGACAGACATGACACTGTCATAAACATAACACCTGTTATGAACATGAAAGTCTTTATGAATGTTTATGACTGTTGTCATTCGTTAAATTATGACACCCTTAATGCAAAGTTGACAGTTTAAAATGTCTTTGTTATGACAACTTGACATTTTAAACAATGTCAACTTTGCATTAAAGGTGTCATAATTTACCGAATGACACTTAATGACAACAGTCAAACATTCATAAAGACTCGTTCATGTTCATGTCATGTCAATGACAGTGTCATGTCAGTCTCATGCACACCCTTTCAAATAAAGTGTTACCAGAAAGACTTGTCAAGAGTCTGGTAGTCAAAAAGTGAGACTAAATTATCTGACTTCTGCTTGAATCATCATTTTACAGATGGTTTTAATTGCAAAAACAAACAAACAAACAAACAAAAAACAGTAAAATGTGTTGTGCTTAAAGACAACCTTTAGATAAATGTATAAACTTCCTAAATGAAGAATAATCTGTTTTGGAATATAGATTCTTCTGTCAAACGTAGCGTTTACCTGTAAAGTATTGCCGGCAGGCTGGACGACTTCCCAGGTGTTCCTCCTTCCTTCTTGCTCGGCTTTCTTTCTTTTGGAGCTTTTAAAATTGCAGGAGTGTTTAGTTTCTACAAAACAAGCACAAACATAACAAAAAAACTAATTTGCAAACATTTGAAATAAATAATGATCAACAGCTGTGTCTGTCCTAAAATATGGACACAGTTAATGTGGATATGTGGATTCATGTGCTTTCAAAAAGATTGGGAAAACTAGGAAATTACAAAAAGGTGGAAGTTAATGTATTTTTCACCATATAAGTAACATCTTTTTGTATAAATTAGCATGCCCTGCGACTTACGCCATGCGACTTATTTATGTTTTTTTTCCCCATATTTATAACCCAATTTTTGATTGAAAGCTGATGATTTCATTCATTCGGACATGGAAAGTATTGAACACTATTCATTTTCAGCTGCTAGAGGGTCCTCAACTAATATGGCAAGCCAAGTGTCGCATTAATATGTAAAAGTGGCTATTAATGAGACATTTGGTTTGCCATACACCACCTTCGTCTCGCTCCGGAACTCCTGGAGCAAACGTCAAATCAGCTGCATTTTGCTGCGCTGCCCAGGTGAAATGCAGCTGATTTGACCATTAAAGTGCATTTATTAAGTTCAACTGAGACACACCTTTACTATAATTTTGAACAAACAAATAATTGTTTTTAGGCGGTTATCTTGTTAAATTTCGAAGAAATGTACAGCAAGTCCTCCCTCTGTGCGCTCTCACAGCCGCAAATCGATTTTTGAAATGCAGCTGATTTGATCATTAAAGTGCATTTATTAAGGAAAAGTTAAACTGAGACACACCTTTGCTAGAATTTCAAGCAAACAATTGTTTTTAAGTGTTAATCTTGTTAAATTCTTGTTAAAGTCCTCCTGTGCACGCTCCCGTGGCTGCCATTTTGGCAGCCCATCGATTTGTGGCACAACACCGGCCCACGTTTCCGGGTGGTCAGCAGTGACTCATAATAGATGCGACTTTTACAGTGAAGCGACTTATTTATGTTTTTTTCCCACTTTATTAGACCTTTTTGGACAGATGTGACTTATACGGTGGTGCAACGTGTACGGCGGCAAGTACAATAAATGTTCAGCTGTGAAATAAAATACTTTTTTGCATTTCTATTTTATATTGTTTATTATAATTTGGAGTGAGTGAGGGAAGAATGGAGAGTGACATTGACAGACGGATTGGTGAAACATCTGCAGTATTGTGGACTCTGTACCGGTTCGTTGTGGTGAAGAGAGCTGAGCTGTAAGGCAAAGCACTCTGCTTACCGGTCGATCTATGCTACCCTCACCTATGGTCACGAGCTCTGGGTAGTGACCGAAAGAATGAGATCATGGATACAGGACAGGAGGTTGAAATGAGTTTCCTCTGCAGGGTAGCTGGACTCTCCCTTAGAGATAGGGTGAGATGTTCAGCTATCAAGAGAGACTCAGAGTAGAACTGCTGTTCCTCCACATCAAGAAGAGCCAGTTGAGGTGGTTCGGGCATCTGGTGAGGATGCTCCCTGGGCGCCTCCCTAGGGAGGTGCTTAGGGCACGTCCGACTGAGAGGAAACCCCGGGGAAGACCCAGGACACACTGGAGAGTACATCTCTCAGTTGGCCTGGGAACACCTTGAAGTCCTCGCAGAAGAGCTGGAAGAGGTGGATGTGGAAAGAGAGGTCTGGACCTCCCTGCTCAAGCTGCTGCCCCAGTGACCCGACTTCAGAATAAGCTTAAGATAATGGATGGATATCATAATTTTACAGAAATATCAGAAGAATGTGTGAGGACAAAGCACATCGAGGAATGATATGCAAGTAGAGAAAATGTGTTTTTTTCTGTGAAAAAACAAGTAATGCATGAAATGCATGAATGCTTTCCATGAAGCTGCCTCTTTAAATGAAGATGGTTGGACGTGTAATGATTTGAAATGCTGTTAGGGGGCCGTATTGACCGGTTTAAAATGTTAAAAAGAAATTATAAGAAGTCTCTATTTGCCAAGTTTCTATAAAAACAGTAGAAAGCGTCAAAGTTTAAAACTTGTAATGATAGTTTTAATCCTCGTGAGTTTCTGAGAGGTTGAACGTTTGGACTGAAACATGCTGAAGTTAAAAGCTGCTCATAAATGGCAGTGTTGGTTGAACATGACTGAAAATAAATTAAATACATAAACACATAACGTAGATATTTGTTACACATTTTTATTCTTAATTATTAATAACTATTATTTTGAAGACAGTGTCTGTAGAGTGTTGTCTTCATTAAATGTGTACAGCTTACTACATTTACACATAAAGTACATGCATACAAAAGTAACATATCTTGATTTTTTTTTAATTAAACATTGCATAATCAAAACCATTTAAGATTTTAAAAATATTATATTAATAAGACAAAATGAATGTGCTTTGAGCGCTGCTATGAGGGTTAATTAGAACGTTTATCTTGTAGGAACTGAATGTGTCACTAAACAGACCAGGTTCTCCCAGAGGATGCTCTAATCTGAGCCTGCAGCTGGGGAGCCTGCAGCAGGGACACCTGATAGGTAGGGCAGGTGACCAGCGCAGAACAGTCCACCGTCTTAACCTGAACTCAAGTCTACAAGCATCTGACCGAGACAGAAGCTCTCCACTGCTGATATGAAGTAGTTTAAGTACAACTGATGATAAAGTCGTTCACAGATTGTAAAAAGTTGGAACAGTTCAGCTAACACTAAGGTTTTAAAGAGTAAAGTCCTTCAGGGAAAAAACATCCATCAAAGCATTAAAACGACGGAACAAATGGCACAGCAATGGCTTAAAAGCTCTTTCATCATTTTGCATACACTAAAAATGTAAGTGTGAAACAGTGACATACTCTGAATTTTGAAAAACAAGGTTGCATGGGCAAGACAGACCCTGCACAACTATCTGTACATGTTCAAGTAGATTTCTTCAGCTTTAAGACTCATCCACACATGACTACATCTTTGGGCCTTAGAGCTACAGTTACCTGAGACACTCTGGTTTTACACCACATTTGATAAGGAGCCAAAGATACTGTTTGGTTGCTTTTTCAGGACAAATGAAGCTACAGTAGTCCCTCGCTACTTCACGGGAGGGGTTGAACGACTACATAACTTTTAAACTTGACATTAACATAATTAAACTCGAGTAGAACTTGAGTACTTGATGACATCATAGTATATAAAGATACAAAAATAAATAAATAAATAAAACCGCAAAAAAGGTCATTATTTTCAAAAAAAGACCAACAAAACATTGGGAGAATATATTATGCTCCCACCATTTATCATACAGCAAATAAGTCACAGGAAAAACTAAACTACTAGTTTTTATTATTAAGCTGCAAACGTGAAGAAACATGCAGCACGTCAAAAACAAAACTAAAAACAGTGCGTGTGTGTGTGTGGGGGGGGTCGACCACCCCGCACCACCGCCAGCTGTGGTGTGCATTAAGTTTAGTTTTAGGGGTTAATATGTTTATATATATATATATATTTTTTAATAGGTTTAGAGATTAATATTTTTTGCTTTTTGTTTGTGAAACAAGGTCAGAGGAAGCTGGTTCTGGTTCGGTCAATTGGACCCGGTGTTACACCATACTCTGTGACCTGCAACAGTGCATGCAACACCGCCCCCTACGGTCACAAAATATGGTGTAACACCGGTTCACAACGAGCTCCAAACAGTCAGGAAGTTGATTCATTTTCTGTTTCCTTACGGTAGTTGAACCCAGAAGATTCATCTTTAGTGAAATATTTCCAGACTATTGATGCATTTCTACCCGTTTGTCAAGACTGGGCCTGCTCTGCTCCATCCGTCTGCTTGGAGGAATCCATTTGGTAACCCGCGCCCGGTGCGGATCATGTGACACGTGACGCAATGACGTAACGGTGGCGTAATGACGTCACCACGAATACTCGACATGAAATTAAAAACCTCGATAGGTGTCTTAGGAATCGATGTGTAGATTACTCGAGTAGTCCGTTAAAGCCCTACTTCACAGTTCGTTTTTTGTGGACTTGCTCTATTGCGGTTTTTCAAAAAAATAAATAAATAAATAAAAAAACATAACTACTACTTACTACTTGTACTACAATCCCTACTTCGTGGTTTTTCTCTTATCGCGGGGCTTCAGGATATGAATCCCTCGTGTTAAACGAGGGACTACTGTATAAATATTTGTATATTGTACATATATATATATATGTACAAATATATATATATATATAT